CATAACAAACATAGTGTTCTATATTCATTATACAAAGAACACAATCTTAACTATCCGCAATTAATTATATAACAAACATAAAGTTATATATCCACATTAGCTATACACGTTTCAGTGCTACTCAAACTAATAAGCGTTGCTAATACTTGGAAAGTCGAATTTTCAAGATCATCTGCTCATTGTTTTATGCTCCCGTTGTAATATATCCACCATTAGTTATGTAACATAGTGTTATATATTCGTTATACAAAAAAACACGATCTTATATTTCAATCATTAATTATACACATTTGAGTGCTACTCAAACTTATAACCCTAAGTATAGGCATCCTCATCCTCATCAATGGACGTTAATCTTCAGGTAATCACGCGAAGAGACTGAAAAACTAAATAAAAATCATTGTTATGTATTGACAGTTATATATGCTTTTGAAAGTAAATAGTTAGTCTTTACCTGTGGAGGTGGATTTTGAAAATCCTCTACGGGTACCCACCAATTGTAAAGAAAAAGTTATGTGAACATTAAACCCCACATTATAATGTGAGAACCTACACAAATTTATTTTTAATGACAACATGAAAGTTCAATGGTCTAATCAACCTTCTTTCCTAATATCAAACACATAATAATAACCATATTAAATTATACTCTAGTCTAATTTTTTACATTGTCACATCCGCTCCATCCGTAACAGAATCTACACATCCTCGTTTACCATCGTAAATCTTAAGATCATCTTGTAGAGAGCCTGAAAAATAAAAACTGAAAAATAGAATGTTATTAAAAATACATTTAATTGTGTACTACTCAACCCGGTAATTGTTCGTTACATGTGGAGCTAGATTGTTGTCGCCATCATTTCCTATGATGTCATAGATTAGCACCTCGAGCATTAGGAGTATACACATTACCCCGTGTGAAACCTGCATCAAATTCATATTTTATTCAGTATGTCATGGTTAGCACGGTGAAAAATAAAATTTGAAACTAAGTATATTTAAAGAAATTGTAAAAAAAATGACTAACTAAATTCAAACTTACTGTGAAAAGTATATTGCACCGGTAAATCCCATAGGACAACCAGAAGAGCTCCGCTAACACACCACTTGATATCTCCACAAGTGAGATATGGTTGACTGATTCTGTGGTGACCACAATGTACTACATTTATCAAATGAAATTAAGTATGAGTGTGTTTTCTTTTTTGAATTAGTAGTTTTTTCCTATTAAGTTGAAAGGGTATAAGATGGAGAGAGAGAAAAAAACTTAACTTACCCCGCTGTAGATTGGCCATAGACAGGCGGCCATCTATGATGTGAACAGACAACGCACCACCACCGACTCTATGTGGTGGCCATGAAATCCAGAAGGGAGATGGCTGCTGTAATTGCAAGGAGCAGGACAGACAACCCACTGAGGATTACCATTATCCCCACTCATGTTGTATTGGCACAACGTATATACATGTATATATACGTTGTGTCAATCAGGATCGCAATCACATTGATCACTAGTAGTAACCTGTCAATGCTGGTGATGAACGAGAGCGAATGCCTGTATATAACGGCTTATTAGTATGTTTTTTTAAATAGTTTACTACTATCTATTTTATAAATGTTTATATATCCATTATATACATTTATGTTATATTTCCACAATTAGTTATGCACGTTTGAGTACTACTAAAACTTATAAACATTTACTGATACATGAAGAGCCAAATTTTCAAAATCACCTTCCATGGGCCATCATTGTAACCTCCACCATGTTATATATCTAACAAACATAATGTTATATATCCATTATATTACAATTTCAAAATTGCAACTAAATAAATTTAAACTTATAGTAAAACGTATGCTACGCCAGTAAATCCCATAGGACAAACAAAAAAGCTCCGCTAAAACGCAGTTTGATATTCAAAAAGTGAGATATGGTTGATGGAGTGTGTGGTGACGTCAAGGAAATACATTATTAAATGAAATTAAGAATTAGCGTGATTTCTTTTTCAAATTAGTAGTTTTTTCTATTAAGTTAAAAAATTATAAAATGGAGAAAAAAATATCTTACGTACCCATGTAGATCGGCCATAAACAAGCATTCATCTGTGATAAGAACAGAGTATCACCACCGGCTCCCTGTGATAGGCCGTGGAATCCCAACAACGAGACGTCCGTTGAAATTGCAAGCAGAAACACAAACAAGCCACAGAGGATTGCTATTATCGCTCGCCGGGTTGGATTGGCACAATGTATATACATTTATATATACAATGTGCCAACCAGGATGGTAACCCATTTTATCACAAGTAGTAGCCCGTCTTTGCTTGTAATGAACGGGAGGGAGTGGCTGTATATAACTGTTATTAGAGTAGGCGCACGAAAAAGTTGATCACCCTTTGTGATGGTGAAGAAGAGACGTTGAGGATGTAGTTCGGGCTGCACATCCTCTTTATGTCAGCACTATAATGACAATCCACTTCCTCTTGACGCTGAGGATAGAGTTCGTGCTCCACAAATCATAAAATGAATAGTTAAATACTCACACGGGAGAGAGGGCAGTCCCGAATCCAACAACAGTACCTGCACCAGGTCAAAGACCAAAAAAAAACTAAGTCAGATACCTGATAACTCATATAATAAAATTCAATGAAAAAAATAATATAATAAAAAAAGTTCACATAATAGACCCATTACCGACGGCGACCACAAAAAGTACAAGTAGTATTGATCCTTGTCCCTGAGGGGATCCCTGGCATAATTTTAGGGTGCATAACAATACATAATCTGCTACATTATCATTTATAGAAGACTTCTAAATTTTTTTCTTGTAAATTTTGAAGGGCTATACATCTTTCCTTATAAGTCATAATATAGTTTTTTCATAGATAACTCAAATTAATTGTGCTCCTCAAAATTATTTCACTTTGATATATTTTGAAACAAAAAATAATTTTGGATATTTGTTACGAGTTTATACCATGGTGGTAATGCTTGTTTACTACATACGATCATACCATGTGGTATGGAAGTGTATCATGGTGGTACGAACATACCACCAGAGTGTGTAATAGTTGAATATATGATAATAGGATTATACGAGCTGACATTTACCACACTCCAGGATGGTATGGAGTGGTATATTTTGGTCATATATTGTTTTTCCAAAAATTTGTAGATCCTATAAATCACGATCAAATCGTTCCATCTGTACAAAAAAAATCAAAATTCGAGTAAAAAACGAAGTTGTACCAAAGTGGTACGACTCGTATGAGTGGTATGAAATATTTTTTGTCGAAATATATTAAAACTGGATATGAAACCTTGAATAATTGGTTTCAGATTACAATAGAGCATGAATCATATCAAATCATCATTATACATATGGTCGGACTGTATAATACCACATTGATTAATTTCAAGGAGTGATTGTGATTTATAAGACTAACTTAACTATATTAAATAAATTGGTCTAAGTGATAGAATTTTGGGCTACTCACATCATCATGCAAGGTACCTCGGTACCCACTACTCCCTCGACACTAACCACCCAAGCACCCACCTCCCAAGCAAGCAACATATTTTGGCCGCCCACCTACTCAACACTGGGGTGTCAGGCATGACATCATGCAAGTGGAGTTCGAATTTTTCTAAGTGTTGAGATCTTGCCACTCACCTACCATGCCTAGTCACTTACCCCTCAAGTACCCATCAAGCTTGACATCATGCAAGAAGGGTAAAATTTTGCTAAGTATTGAGACATCACCATTCACCTATCAAGCAGGTCACCCACCAAGCAGACAAAAACCTAGCAACCCACATATCAAGCAATGTGGTGTCAACCATGACATCATGCAAGGAGAGTTGACATAAGTATCCCAAGTAACCACATACCAAGCAGGTCACAATACACAGTTGTCTAGTATGTTTACCATGTACCATCGAACACTGGGTTGTTAAACATGATGTCATTCAAGTACAGTTGGTGTCGGCTTGCTTTGACGACTCTCCTCAAGTATCCAAGTAGGGCAGAGTGCAAGGGGGATGATACAACGTACTCTCATTCCAAGTAAGGCATGCTAGGCCTCATGGGTAGTCATGCATTGTACCTAGTAGACAAGGTCATCAAGTTTCTAAGTGTCATTCATGTATATCATCACATGGTAGACCATCTTGTGAAGACCCTACAACATGATGTCATCCCAAGGGGGTCAGTATGCATCCATCAACTCCCCAAGCACCCTAGTGTCGAACATGACGTCATGCAAGGGTGGTCCGCAGGAGTATCACTATTCACTAAGGCATCAAATGTCAAGATGACGCCAAGCGAGATACCTCCACGACACAAGGGGCTACCTACCAAGTGAAGTCATCAACCTATCAGGGTACCAAGTGATTTTCATGCAAGCAAGGCGGTTAAGGCGTCAAACAATCTACATAAAGCATGAAGTATAGTGGAGGAATAGTTACAAAGGGGCGATTACACCTTATGGTTATAAATAGGAGAAATGAAGATGAAGCAAGGTTTCCACAACCAAACGTTTGACTCTCAATGTTAAACTTCATCGTTTCTTTGAGAATTAGCCATAACTTTTATAAACTGGACCAACAATTAGGATAGGCACAAAAATTAAAGCTTCTATATAAATAAATACCCCCAATAAATCAAAACTCATTGCCAATGGATAAAGAAAAGAGGGTTCAACATTAAAAACAACAAAAACTAAAGCAAACATACAATAACAAATTCAAAATTTTACCCAAGCATCGTCCATCGGCTCTATACCCGATTCATAAATAGAAAGCTTCTCGGAACCTTTGCTAATTGGGGATAAAACTCGAGAAATTAGAAATGCCGAAATAGGAATAATACTTGTTATTATTAGAAATGCCCATAAAATATCATATTCATAAAAGGAGAAACATGGGTGCACTGCTATAAATATGTAAAACATGTTTGTTAGATCAGTCGAGTCAAATTGAAATTAATTTGAACTCACATGGACATAGTAAGACTCGCTTGGGCTGCTTTGATGATAATCTTTACATTTTCACTCGTAGTGTGGGGAAGAAGTGGACTTTAGGAGTACATGTTAAGTTGATAAGTGAAATTACATCAATTGTTTTCTGGATCTTCTTGCAAAACTTTTTGATTGAATGGTTTAAATTCAATTGAGAATATCTTTATTTACAAAATTTATAAATTATCTATTGGAATCAAGTGAAATAATGAATTCTATGAATAAGACTTTTTTAAAATTGAATAATAATTTGATCAGGTACTCGCCATCTATTTTTATTGTTCAATTCTTTGACAACATGAAAAGAACAAAACCTCTCCCTCCCTATCGATCCAAGGGACAGAATGGCAGGGTCCTTTGGTGCCCCCTCCATTTAAGAATCGGGTCCTCGCAATTAGGGATGGCAACGGGTCATGTTTGGAGTGAGTACCCCCAAATTCGTGCCCTGCTCTGCCTTTTAACCTATCGCCCTGCTCTGCCACGCGACCCGCAACGGATCTTCTTTTTCTGACCCAGAATGTGCCCCGCACGGGGCGGGTAAAACCCGCCCTGTACCATTTTAATTTACCAACATCTAATATAATCAATGCATCATATACCAGGCCTGCGCCCTACCCCATTTTTAGTTCCCAACCTTTGATTTTGCATCATCATTCATCATTTAGCTTAACATGTAATATAACATACAATCCATAATTAAAATCCAAATTCCAAATTCCATTCATCATCAACCAAAATCATCTCTCAAGCCTCCTCTAAGAACTGAAATTCGAATCCAAAAAGAGGTTGCATAAACCATAAGAATTCATAAGAACATTAGAAGTGGATCATTTGAAAATTTTGGAAAGTTCAAACTTCCTTCTGACTTGCAGCAGCTGCAGCCGGAAGCAAGCCTTTCTAAATCTCTAGAGCAGCAAACAAATTCTCTCCAACCTCCCCTAACTTTGAGTATCAGTAGCTTATAGGGCAAAAGCGTATAGCTTCAATTCCTATCTTGTAGTAAAACCGGAAAGTCCGGGTATCGTCTCTCAGGGACTGGTACAACCTTATGATTTATCAATTCTGTGGAGCAAACTATAGGTGAAAATGGTTGAATGAGATTATTAACTACTAGCAAAATAATTAAACTAATTAAGCAAAGTAAACTTGTCGGGTTTAAATCAATGGGAGAAAGCTTTGGGAGAAACACCGGGATTCACTACCTATCATATCCAAATTAATTCACATATTCCAATCAATTTAATCAATATCTCTACAGCCAGGATATCACTACTGTGCTAGCTATCCCTGTCGGGAATTACTACGTACTAAATAATCAATTCAAATCCTACTGTCGTAGCTCAATGAATTAACTATATAGTCTGAAGATCGATATCCTATTTAAGATCGCATAGCACCTTATTTAATCCACTGTCGCTTTGATAAGTTACTATGTCACATGAAATATGTTCGGTTATTAGGGTTTCACTGTCGCTAATAACCTAATTAACAACAAATCGTTGTATTGGTGGCCAGTCAACACAAAGCATTTAGTAATTTCATGCAATAGAGATGGGAAGAAAAGAAATATGAATTAATCCATCAAATCAAGAACTAGCTACATCCTATGGTGTTTCCCCCAGAAATCGGGGTTTAGTTCATGACGAAATTAAGATAAAACATTAGGGTTTTGATCATCATGTTCTAAATCAACAATACACAACTAGTTCAGTTCAGAGAATCCAACCAACTAATCGCTCTCGTTGAACGAAGCTCAAGCCTTGGAGAAGTCGATCATCAAATTCTCAATCGCCTGCTGCTGCTCGCTGTTCCCTTCGCTTTTTCCTCCAAAGAATTTAATTCCCCTCCAATCAATCCGCTGCCCCGACTCTCTATTTTTCTTCGGCGTTTTTCGTGTCCCTAGCTGCCGAGAATTTTTCAAGAATTCCGGTCCCAGAGCCCAAATCCAATTCCATGCCACCCTCCTCTTGTTTTTCCGCCGCCCAGCAGAAGGAGAAGAGTCCAATGGGCTTTTGCCCACTTCCCACAGCCGCCAAATCCAAGGAGGAAAGTAGAATGGGCTTTGGCCCATTTCTTGTCCCATGAGTTTCGTCCCAGCAGTTCGAGCCCGATTTATTGCTTATGCACTCGCTCCTTTTTCGTGCTTTCTCCACCTGTAACATATCAAACTCATGGCACTAGGCGGTAATGGTTTTTCAACCATTCCCGGGTTAGCGAGCCCTAAAATAACACCAATCGGCTTAAACATATCATGGATAATCACATAAAGTCCAAAAATTCAATATGTTAAAGCCGATTATCACAACCCCACACTCAATTGTTGCTTGTCCCTAAGCAACGACTCAAACAACACAAACACATAATCATCCAAAACAATAACACATTACAGACTCAACACTCAAAGCAAAACACAAAATTTCCTTGTACTCTTGTTGTAATCAGTAGTTTCTTTCTCAACGGACAAGTTGTCCTTTAATGGTCATACCTTTCACCCCACACTCAAGGTCTTGCAACCCTTAACCATTGACTGACTCCAATCCATCCAAAAACTCAAATAGCAACACTCAATTTCGATAGTCAGTAGTGGGTGGTTAACAACTTATGGTGCAACAATTATTAGGAGAATCTAACCACATCAGTGAGGTGCATATCTCGTGAGGACGGTCTGGCTTACTCACACCAATCATAAGCAATTAATTAAGCATGAGTCTCAAAAACTAATGGGGGAAGCCTTTCGCAAACATAATTTTAACTTTAAGCACATCACTACCTTTTATGACAAGGAGAGACTTTCTCTCTTTCTGATCTTGCTTGCCGAGTGGTCGTATTTAGTACAAGTGGGATTTGTTTCTTACTACCGGTGACCGAGCAAGAGCAATTTCTGCTTCTTAGCACTCGCATAAGGGCTTCTTTTAACTCCTTTTCCTCGGTCCGTGTGGAGGGTCACTGCACATCCTCAAATGGCACTTCACTCAACAGGGGATTGTACTTGATAAGCAACATTGTACGGTCGCGAACCGATGCTCAGTTGAACCTTTCCTAACCCCCCTGTGTAGTGAGTGATTGCCTCACACGATTTTGGCATTTTACCCACACTTTAATTGTTATGGCAACTTTCTTATATTTTACTTGTCAGGTAGTGTTTTCTCATTTTATAAAGATACAGTTCACCTGATAGACCGATAATTACACATGTTTTCACCCCTTTTCTGAAGCCGTTTGAGATGTTGATTCTCGTGTTTTAAGCCGATTTCACGCGAGGTTGTACGTTTATGTCATATTTCAGGACTTGGCGGTGGAATCAAGGCAAAGGAACGAGATTCGGGTCGAAAGGAGCAAGTGAGGCTTGAAGTGTGCTAGAGAGCCAAAATACCCGACCATGAGCAGAAATACCCGACCGGGTATTTTCTGGCCATGGTCGGGGATTTCTGTCTTTGGGCGTCCGTGAGAAACAGAAGGGGGCCCGGGCAAAAGGCAAAAATCCCCGGTCGGGGATTATTGGAAGAGACCGGGGATTTTCCCTGAGGCCGAAACGGTGCGCTTCAATTATACCCGATCGAGACCCAAAATACCCGACCGGGTATTTCGACCGGGTATCGCGATCAGGCAGCAATTTAAGGAAGAAGAAGGCCAACATTCAAGGGGTTCCGAGTTTTTGAGAGAGAAAGCGTTTCCTAGAGAGAGAAAGCGACGAACCAGAGTTCCCAAGTGCCATAGCTTGATCTTCATCACCATTGGAGCCCGGCTTGAGCTTGGAGAAGTGCCGATTGAACGTCCAGGAGCAGAAATCCATCTTCACAGTATGATTTCCGCGTCTGAATCTGCTTGTGCTTCTTTCTCTATGGAGTAGTTTCCCCATTCATCTGGGTATGGGGAACCCTAGATTTGTATGCTAGGTCTGTTTGTATGAACCCAAGTACAGAGTTTGTGAATTGGTTATATTCGATTGAGGTTTGAATGATTGAATGACTTGAATCCTGATCAAATTCCTGTTGTTTCTGCTTTGACCTAGAATGAGAATATCTGCCTAGGTCGATAGAGTATCCCTAATTGAAGGTAGCAAATTGGTGACTTTAGTCGAGGAGCCAATTCGCTATTCTGTACCGAATTCAATTCGGTAGTGGAGGTTTGGCTCGTTAGGGCCTCAATCTGTTTACTCCGGTGGAGGTTAGTCGCCCGCTAGAGACTCAGATTGAGAGGGTTTGAAGACCTTTAGTCGAGACTTCAGACTATTTAAGAACCTTCCGCAGTATAACTTTCATGAAAACGGAACTTGGTAAATTACAATCCGGCTTAACTGCAGTCTAGGGGGAACCATATCCGGGTGACCTCTCTTGACTTGAACAACCGTTTAACTTGCTTTGCGTTTTTGTTTGTTTGAATCTGCACTAAAAGTTCACTGCTAGATAACGAGAATTCACCGAGTAGTCATCACATCTAGGACCCGGGTTGACAATAAAACCCAAACCCGCTATACTACGCTTTAGGAAGTGGTTACACTTGGCCATTTTCTAGAGTGACAGTAGGAGTGAGTCAAGTTTATGCGCCGTTGCCGGGGACGGCTAGGTTGTTGAAGAAAAGTGATTTCTGTTACTTTAGCATTTTCATTTTCGCATTGAGTGTTTGTTCTTTCCCACTTGTGCCTTCACAGTTTGCATTGCTTGATTGTGTGCAGATAGTGCATGACCCGTAGCCAGTCGGGAGGTTTACTACCGTTGGATCCAGAGATTGAACGCACCTGCAACGAACTTCGGAGACAACAGCGAGCTAGACTGGCTACGGTGGAGCGCAGAGACGGCCAATTGAGCAGCGAGTCCGAGGACGAGTACGAGATGGAGGGCGATCACAACCCACCTCCGGTGAACCCGATCCTGGGGAACGACCCCAATCCCCAGGGAGCTGGGGTTCATCATCATCCACCACCACCGGGTCCCACCTTGGAGTACTACTACACTCCACGGATTGCCGACATCCGCCCGGTCATCCTCTATCCACCCATTCCAGCAAACAACTTCGAGATCAAGCCATGCTGGATTCAACTCATTACATCCTCTATCCAGTTC